TAATCCGATCAAGTTATATAAATGTATCTTATGTATTGTATTACGTATTGTATGTTGCCTGAAATATGGATTTCCTTCAGGATTGTAAAGTATCTATCTATATGTATGTGTCTATCTAATAGCCTACTGTAAATACTACTACTACCAGAATTATACTAGGACAAACCAGGACAAAAGGACTAAACCAGGACCAAACCAAACCACATCAGGACAATTCTGAACATAGTCTACTACTACTGCTACTACTACTAGTACTATAACTACTACTTATCTAAACCAGAACCAAACCAGACCACATCAGTACAATTCTGAACATAGCCTACTACTCCTACTAGTACTACTACCAGTATAAATACTACTACTAATCTAAAGCAGGACAAAAGGACTAAACCAAGACCAAACCAAACCACATCAATACAGTTCTGAACATAGCCTACTACTGCTACTACCACTACAACCACTACAACTACTACTACCAGAGGTGGCGCTACCATTAGGCAACAGTAGGCCGCTTAGGGCATCGAACCTGGAGGGGCCCCCAATCAATTGCCCCCAATGCCATTAATGGCCAAGGCCTCAGAGCATTTTGATTTTCTCTCAGTATGACATTAAATGAGAAATAAGAAAACACCATCAAAATAGAATTTCATTGTCAAATCTATTTTAACTGCCAAAGCACCCCCCCTTTCATGTTAGAATGGACATAATCATATCATATGTAATGGATGTAAACAAAAATGTAATTGTGCTACCAAAAAAATAAAACTACTTTCAGTTCAGTTCAAATAAAGATGTGCAGGTCTCATGAACAATGGGAAAAAACAAAACAGTGCGTTATAGTGAGGGCCCCAAACTCAAGTTCACCTAGGGCCTCCAAATTGCTAACTCTGCCACTGACTACTACTAATGTAAACCAGGACAAAGGGACTAAACCAGGATGAAACCAGGACCGAATCATTCATTGTGAACACAGTCTAAATTCTTAAACTATCTCACCCACAAATGAGAACTATTGTAAGTCTGCCTGGTGCTGTATAGTCGTGTTATAACACAACACAATAGAACACAACAGCTAGGACTTGGAGCTTGGAGACTTGCCGACCGACTTGCTTTGTTTGGCGTTTGTAAACTATCTAATAAAGTTATCAGGGTGAAGCACAGGCAGGACTCATGTTACAGAGTCAACAGTGAGTTTCCCACAGGTGCAGAGATATGGAGACAAAGTACACTCATAACTTCAAATGATTCTGACAGTGATGAACGGGACACCTGCTGGACTATGGAATATGTAAGTATATAGTGCTTGCTTAACCACTAAACAGAAGTCACAATATATTAAAACATTATTATACTGTAAAGTGGATGCTGGATTATTTGTTATATTTAACTGGAGAAATAAACCAGGGACTGCAGATGATCTACAGTATTGCAGGGTTAAAAATAAAAATTCTTTGAAATTATTATTACATTATTGTCAATTATACTGGTAATCATTGTTCTATATTATTCACTACTGCTGTAAACATCACCAAGGCAACGAGTAAACAAATGAACTGGTGTTAGAAGGGACTAGCTTCAACTAAAACAGGAATAACAAATGCTTTGAACGTCCACAAACGGCTAAAAGGTTTTCATGTGATTTAAAAGTGAACTATTTTCAGTTTACAGGACCATGATATAAGCGAATTAAACAACTCTGAGCAATGTTAAAATAGTCTAACTCCTCGTTGTTTAATCCTCACTTATTTTGTCGTGATCTTGTGTTTAATTTGAATAATATAATGAATAAAAGTTTATTAAATAGCTTTGATAAGATTCTGAATATATTTTTGTCCCAAACATAATTCTTAAACTGTAGCTGCTGCTAACTAAAACACTCCTTTGTATTTAAAGGTGCATTGCGCAACTTTATTAGTGGAGTTTGCATCATCTGCTTGTCTTCACAGTGATGTTATTGCTTTGTCTCGAATGTTCCACAGTAGAGTTTAATCCAAGATAACTATAGGCTACAGTCCAGGTCAGATCTGTGGAAAGGCAAACATATTCACAGAGAGAATTATTCAAGAGAATTATTGTATTTTCAGCAATAGAAACACCCCTAATGAATAAATGTTTGTTTAATGTCATACCATGGAACTTTTCAGGCAAAGCAATAACATTTCCATGGAGACAAGCAGGTGCTGGACTCTCCACCAGAACTGTTGCCCATTGCACCTTAAAGGAAAATTTTTTCTTACAAATTAACGTTATTGGATGAAAGTAGCTGCAGCCAGTGGTAAGAGATAATTGTGGCAAATGTGGTAGTCTAAATATAGACCATATTCTGCAAAATTCTATAAAATTCTGTTATAATTGTCTTACTTTGTCATCTACCCACTCAAAGTTGTAGAGAAATTAATAATTCATGCATGTTTGAAGAACCTTTATTCTTAGTTACTGTAAACAACTTTGACATGTTTTAAAAATATATAACTCATGTGCTCCACATCTTTAGCGCAGACTTTTAAAACTTTTGTTTTGTTTTGGACAGCCTTCCCCCTCACACTGTGTGGTCCTATAGTCTTCAGTGCTTACATGTACTTGTCTTGTAAATGTGATTGAGGGAGACAGGTACATTTTCCTTTGAGGGCCAGATCTGAATCATTTCTTACATTAACTGTGGTGGGTAGCTATAGAAGACAGTTACAGCCTTGATAAATCCTGTTCTTTCAGACCAATTTTAAAATAAAGAGAGCAGTATGTCATGTACAACTGAGTAAAACTGTGTATTCAGCTATACCTGTAGTTGAATACTTGTAAGATAGTGTAATGCTATAGTGTGGAAATGTCTAGGCAAAGTGATAACATCTCCATGGAGACAAGCAGATAGCAGATCCTCCACCAAGTCACATAGTGCACCTTTAAATTTATATATAAAAATAATTGTCAGAAAAAAAATGCAGTTACACATTGCACAACTTGCTCAGCTCCAAGTCTAAATTATAATACCATAATGACAATAATCCTAAAATTACAATGTTTCTTAAGTACCGTACTAAAGGTTTTCAGTGTTGACATTCCTGAACTGGAAAAAACACAATAGAAGTCAAATACAGATGTAATCACCGGACAGTGTCTTCCTATAGTTGTAAAATAACAATAGAAAGTGTGTCCCTATCTCACAATCTCCTTCATTCTCTGTGCAGAGGATCCATTTTCCATGTCAGAGCCTATATTCTATCCCCATTGTAAAGAATCTGACTTCAGGAAGCTGTTAAAGCTATGCGATAACACAACGGTAAGTGGTAGGGAGTCTAGGAGAAGGGTGGGGGTCAAACACCCGGGACCTTGAGTGGCCTTTAGACTCCTTGTGACTAAAATGCCTGGACAGGAATGTGTTTTTAAGGCTCGCTTCAGTGCTAATGCAGGATATTAAAACAACAAAAGAGTGAGTTCAGCAGTTTGAGAGGATGCAAGCTCTGCAGAGTCTGTGATAGCAGAAGTCTAAGTTGCAAGTCACCACATTTTGATATAATAATTGGCACTCTTTACTGATATAGTGTTTACACTGGCAACAAGAAGGGTTTAGTAATAGTATTCAAGCCACAACAATGTGAATACATGTGAATAATATTGATCAAGCAGCCATGCAGTCAGCCTTGTGTTAATAAAGCAGTAAATTGAATGTAATTTGAAAAACAGCATAATGACTATCTTCATTTATGAATGGTATTGCCATCGCACTGCAAATAATTAAAATACTTTTGTAGTTATTTTGTATCTATAATGAGTCATAAAACTTATTTATTCAACCTTCTACAGCTCAAATCTAATCATCGAACTGAAAAGTAATAAAATGTCTCCCTCTAGTACAAAGAAAAAGTCCCTGTGATAAATACTGACCCCCAAAAAATGATTGTTCCATCTAACTAACACTACTACTACAATTACTACAGCTATTACTACTACTACCACCACTGCGGTACTACTATAACTACTACAGCTATTACTACTACTATAACTACTGCAGCTATTACTACTACTACCACTGTACTACTACTACTATAACTACTACAGCTATTACTACTACTACCACTGTGCTACTACTATAATTACTACAGCTATTACTACTACTATAACTACTACAGCTATTACTACTACTACCACTGTGCTACTACTACAGTTACTACAGCTATTACTACTACTACTACTGTGCTACTACTATAACTACTACAGCTATTACTACTACTATAACTACTACAGCTATTACTACTACTACCACGGTACAACTACTATAACTACTACAGCTATTACTACTGCTACTACTGTGCTACTACTATAACTACTACAGCTATTACTACTACTACTATGTGTTACTATTGCTGCTATTACTACCACTGGTTATTTCATGTACTATTGCCTTAACACTGCTGAAATTACTACTTATTCTATACAAACTAAGTAGTGCTGCTGCTCCTGCTACTACTACAGCTACTAAGGCTACTAACACTACTACTATTACTATTACTATTACTATTACTATTACTACTATTACTATTACTATTACTATTACTGCAGGAATCATGGACTACTATAGTTAGGACTACTCTACACCACTGATTCCGTGTACTATTATTAAATGCTGAAGAACTACTAGATGAATACTTTATTAAGCCTCTGAAAGGGGAAATTCAGGCATCCATGTACTGCTTGTACTGGCTACTGCAACTCATACTACAGTTGTTACTCCTGCTAGCACTGTTCCTTCCCTACTTGAATTTACTTCAACTTCTACTAGTACAACTATTACATCTTTGTCTATATATGTTTCCTTTTTTAACACCATGAATAACTACAGTTTGACAACTTTCTGCTAAAACTGCAACTACAACAACTTCTAACAATCATATTATAGTACTATTGCTACCACATGACTGCTACTACTTTTACTTCACATGTAAAAGTCCTAAAAGTAAGCATACATAGTCGTCTTTAAGCTATGAGATCAGTCTGTAGAATACCTGTTTCATTGTGTCTTTTGAATCCAGGGCTTCGGGCAATGGAGTCTGAAAAAAAAAAAAAAAAAACAGAGAAACTTTATCACAAACGTCTTTAACCTGAAACAACACTGATAGGCGAGTGGGGAACAGTACAACTTAAAGCACTGCAGTGAAAGATATCTGCACTCTGTTACCTCACATTGCATAATATTAAACTGCTGGACTGGTCTGATAGTACAAGTCGTTATTTTGTTCTTAAGGTCAAACAAATACATTATCTCAACATTGTAAGATGCCATTGTCAGCTGTGGCGATGGAGGTGGGTAAGAGTGGGAGGAAAATAACACAAGAAGAGGAGGACAGCACTTTCTACCACTGTTATACAAAACAATTTACTGTGATAACACTAGTACATTAAAGGTCATATATTATCCAGTTTGGAGAGCTTTCAGCCATGTTAGAATGCCGTTACCATCTCAACAAAAAGAGAGTTGTGTTTTGTTTCATTCTTCCATGTTTGATTAAATCTTCATTGTCTCCAAAGCTCAAAATGCTCTGCTCCACCTTGTGATCTCATGAAGCGGTAGATACCTTTTACCTTTAGTTCAACAGAGCTGAAATTATCCAAATGATTGCATTTTTAAACTCCGTACACCTTCACAAAAATCATTTAGATGATTTCAGCCAATCAAACAAAAGGTAAAAGGTAGCTTCATGACATCACAAGGTGGAACAGAGCATTCTGAAATTTCGAGATATACTTAGACTGATATAAAGGGTTTCTTCTCAAGCATGTGTGAATGAAACAAAACACAACTCTAGTATGTTTTTGAGGAGGTAACGACATCATAACATGGCTTAAAGCTCACAAGAGTCAATTTTATGCAATACAGAACCTTTAAATCACACAATACACACAGCGCATTTTCACTTCGCAGAGAATAACTGGATTAAACACAGCTTCAACTTGATCCTCCATCACCAGAGCAACTAAGTAATTCAGATCTACCGTAAATAATAGGGATAGGTCCTCACAAAAACCTTTAAATCAGGAAGGAGTTATTTGCCTGAAACCTATGAATAACTCAATAACTTCTTTACTCAAATCAGGCAAATCTGTAAACTATAGGCCTGTGCATGAAAAAGTATAGGAATCCTCACCTATAGACGATAATAGTGTGTTCTTCAGATGGCACCACAAGTTAAGAATGGTGTTTTTGTCTCTGTGAGTGAGATGAAGCTCAGACTGATAGAAATCTGCTACACCTGCTGCCTTTCTATCATGTTTTGTCTGATTTATTGTGCGTTAAGTCACGTTACAAATCTGCACGCTGATTTACCATGTGTTAAGTCACGTTACAAATCTGCACGCTAAAACTACTACTCCTAAAATGCCTATGGTAAAACTGTATGTCTTTTTACAACTACTGTACTTTCTGCTGTATGGATAAATGGAGTTCAACCTACAAAATCTTATGTAAAAGCCTACAGTTATATACGCTACTATTACTGCTACTCTTGCAACTATTGCTATTGCTACTACTGCTGCTACAACAATTACTACTACTACTACTACTTTCCTAACTACCACTACTACTAAGCCTAAAACTACTACTACCGCTATTACTACTAATTTACTAATAACTACTTTTCTGTCTTCAAGAGGCTGAATATGGACAATACATACTGCACTATAAGTTCATATACTACTCGTGGTGTATTGTATATAATGCCCACCTTCTCTATGAATGCACTGCTTATTTGAGATATAATTATATTAATGGAAATGTACAAATGTCTGCTTTTATTGTCCTTTTCAATCTAGGTACATGATAAACAAAAATGTCACATATAAATATAATTCTTTGGTTACGTAATAAACTCCCATTACATAATTAACTTCCATGTAAAATATTTGTTTCGGCTCAGTGAATCCCTGCTAATGTGTCTACGTTGCAAACCATTTTACAGATGCCCTTTGTTGATTAGTGAGAAATGCTGCAGAGCCAGTATTCACATATCACACATATCTCACATACAGGGTGACAGACAGGCACCTTTAGGTTGGCTGCATGTGTGGTATGAAGGCATGCTGCAGTGTTATCTGCTCTTCATGACAGCTCTCTCACCCCATTTGTTTGCGTCACATTTGAGTCAGTTCATTAGTAAAAATAAATGAGGTCATCACTCTAAAACTACAAGCAGCCGAGCTGAACCAGACAGTCAAACGCAAATCTTTAATGGGCATCATCATTAACCATCTTGTCAAAATGTGATCTTAGAGGTTAAGCAGGGCTGGGTCTGGTTAGTACTTGGGTGGGCTACCTCTAGTGTTGGACGTCAACAGTGACCCCCTGCTCTGACTCTGGAAGTAAATTTTCTATTCATTTTTCACATAGACTTTTTGAAAAATTTAGGAGTTCAGTTAAGAGTTCAGAGGCATTGCAGAGGCCAATCAGCTATGTGTTAACTAACATGGCCATTTTAAGCCCATTCATTGATATTGTTTAATTACTTTGGAGTTCATAACGTTTCAGACAGATTTTAAATAAAATTATACATATTGTAGTCATTCGTTTCCCTGTAGCTGATTAGCCACCCTGATAAGTAAGGTTTCAACCTTTTAATATTATGTTATGGAAGTTTATGGAAAATATTAATGAGAAATTTTGTTCTGGAACCAGAGGGTAGCTACTCTAGTGCAAACTATTGCCGTGTCCTAAGGCAAGACATTTCCCCCTAGCCAGGCTGGTGCCACCTAGTGCCTCCGCTCAATTTCATTTCTCTCTAGCGACTAGGTCAGGAATCAGAATACACTAGACGGTTCGCACAAACCCAGGAAGTGCAAATTCAGGCACCAGCCAATCAGCGAAGAGTGATATATTCAGTGTTGATTTAAAGCCGGAATAAAGAGATTGTTTGGTGATTTTCATCAAGGGGAAAGACGTTATTGCCCTTCTTCCTATGGGATTTGGGAAAAGCTTAATATACCAGTTAGCCCCGTTAGAGGTGCATTACATAGGTCACGACCAAATAGCAGCGATTGGTTAAATAAAAAAAGAACCCGCCTATCATCAAGTGAACGAAATCCAAGGCTGCAAGGTCAGACGGTTTGTATGAAGTGAAACGAAGTAAAACCGGCTGATGAATTAGGCTAATTTCCCCCACCTTGTCTAGTATGAATGTGGTGTATGAGTGCTGGTGTTGGTTTGACGGGTCGATGTTGTGGATTGGCAGCCTTAGGGCAACTGTGGCTCCTGTAGCTGCTTATCACCACTGAAATAAACGTAAAGAGCTTTGGGGGTCTTCAACATGTGGGTTAATAATGTACTGTATTTACATAGCTCTGATGCATTATTAAGGGTCGACCCATACTACTATTACTTGAATGCTGTAAATGCTGTTGTGTCATTGAGCAAGACACTTCATCCACCTTGTGTAAATGTATAATTAAAAGCAAATGCAAACATTTTAAAGAAAATCTAAAAGTACATTAAAACCTAAAAGTTTAGCATTGTAGCGAGGAGAAAATTCAGTTTGTCGACTGGACAAAAGTTAGTTTGGTTGAAGATGTTTCACAGCTCATCCAAACTGCTTCTTCAGTTCTCTACTTTAGCATTGTAGAGAAAAGAGCTGAAAACTCCCCTTTATCACACTTTTCCTTATTACACAGTGCACTTGACTTGATGTGCAGTCCTTGGCACGTAAATATGCAGAGTCATCAAATGGAAAGAGGCCTCCTTTGGCACATTACTCTTCTAATTAGTGACACTGGGTGTGTTTTGAAGTGATATGCAGTTGTGTGTGCGTGTGTAACAGGTTCTTTGCTTTACTATGGCATCCAATCGACTGTTTACTCAGACTAAAGTTTGTTTTAGTGTGTGGCTTTCGTGTCATGTAATAACATTATTTATTAAATATTTTTAAATAACATCTCCATGGAGACAAACAGGTGGCAGGCCACTCCAGAACTGTGGATGCCATGGGGCTGTCTGACAGAAACATGGCTGCCAATCTGTACCAAAGTCTCTCCATCCACCAACTTCTGGTTTCAGATGACATCCCATTTATATACTACAGATAACACCCAAAGCTACTGTAATTGTTTAAATGCTGTCTTTTGTTGTAATACAGCAAGTTCTTATACGTCATTGACAGAAGTGGGTTTATCTTTTGGATATTTCATGTCAAAATACAATGGAGTCAATGGGAAAAACTGCCTCTTGCCTCTCATCTGGGATTATGGCATTGTCACATTATTCTCAAAAGGACAATTTACTAACAGACACTACGTACAGGGTGTAAGTAGAGACAGACTGGTATATCCATTGGCTGATATGTCGGCATATCTTTGCACTTCTAGCATATCGGTTATCGGCCTTAAATCTCCAGCACATGCCGGTATTTTGTTTTGCTACAGTGTATACATATTATGCTTTAATGAGAACAGATACCTGCACAAAACATGACTACATTGCTCTTTTAATGGTTTGTAGTAAAATAAAAAGGCTGGGAGAGACTTTGTAGTACATTTGAATTACAATATTTAAGGAAGAATCAAAATTCGGCCATAATACATCGACCTAAAAATATCGGCCATGAAAAAATTGATCTCTAGGTCTATGCATCTTGCTCAAGGACACAGCATCAGGGTGAGAATCTTTTCATAACCACTGATCCACTGCTTCCTGTGCTCACTCTCAAATTACCAAAGTTTGTCCATAGCCTCACATGTTCCAAGCAGGATGCAGTCAGCGGAGATTTACAGTCATCTTAGCCAAAACTCAAGTATATTTAGAAATGATGAAACACTTTTTGTCCCATCTCGCATCCTGTCTTCCTGTGACCTGCAAACAAAACCTCTGCCCCTTCTAACCATTCTTCTAAACTATCCCGTAAATATGGGAGGACATCTACAGTCCGCAATAGTGCGGAGGACTATTGGTTAAAAATGAACAATAAACAATACACTATTTATAACAGGAATTTAATACAAAAGGAAAAGTTTGCTTGTTGTTGGCTTCCTGTTGATCCACTCCCCAGCAGCTAAGACAATAGAGAAATGTGCACGAGGACAGGGCCTTTAAACCTCCATGTGCTTGACCCGAGCCTGACAATACATAGGAGGATAAAGCTTGTAGTTATGGAATGTTCCACAGTATGACATAAAACAGCTCTACTTTACTTTCATTCAATCACAGAACTGACCTGATTTGGTCTCCAAAAAGCATTTGATGGACCCTCTACCAGAAAAGTTACATTGTGCATCTTTAAAGAGCCCATATAACGTTTCTGATCAATGTTATAATGTTGTTTTCTCATCAAAACATACCCGGAGTTGTGTTTTGTTTCATTCACACATGTTAAACAAAGAAACCCTGCATAATTAGGCTGAATTATTCTCTCAAACTGAAAACTGAAAAATAAATTCTGTCTAACATGTAAAAGGTAGCTGTTAAGTTGAAATCTACCACCACATGACATCACAAGGTGGAGCAGAGTCTTGCCTAATAATGCAGGACTGCTCAAACATGTAGTGTGGATGAAACAAAACCCAACTTCAGATATGTTTTTGAGGAGGTAACAACATTCTAACATGACTTATATCTCACAAGAGTAAATTTTACATCATTTACGACTATTTCAAAATGTATTTCAAATGTTTTCAAAAATATATATATAAAAAAAAAAAACTGTTAAAGCTGCATTGTGTAATTTTTCTGGTGGAGGGTATTAAACCTTTCTATTTTCATGGAAACTAAACCAGAGCAAGTTAAATGTCAGATCTGTGGAGTGGCAACACCCCTCACAGTCAAGAATGCCTGTTTTTCTAGAGATTGCTGAGCTATAAAAACCACCTGCAATTTCATAAAACTAAACTAAACAATGTCATTCTGTGGATAAAACATTCAGGCAGAGCAATGACATATGCATACAAACAACAGGTGACGGATACCCAACCAAAAAGTTACACAGTGCACCTTTAAGACATCTCAATACATTTGTCTGATTGAAAAGTTGCAAGGGCTGTTCCCATGTGTCGTACCCAGCTGATGCCTCGTATGCACTGCTTCTCTCCTGCGTGGCGGTCCGGGAACACTTGATAATGATAACTCCGAAACAGATGCATCTCTTCTGAGTCCAAAATAAACCAAAATCAAATTTCCCCGTCGGAAAAAGCACAACGAGCACCTCCAGACATCGCTACAGCCTTCACCGATCACATGTTTACGGTCTATTGGCGCAGACGACAACAGTAGTTAAGGGATCCGCATATCTATCCGCAGATCTGCACCGGTACCTATTCAAATCTGACTAAAAAAGCGTGACAAGCTCGTTAAAGGCGCACTGGCTCGGTTTCACCCATCCTCAATGCAAAAGGAGGACACGCACGCGCTGGATCTACGACGTATACTGTTCTGTAGTTACGTGCGCTCCTTGGCACGGAAATACGCGCAGTCATCAAAGAGAAAGAGACGGCCTCCTTTGCCACATGCGACTAATTACTCTGGGTGTGTTTTAAAGGTCCTAAATTACAAAATTGACTCTTATGAGCTTTAAGCGGTGTTATAACGCTCTTACCTCATCTGAAACACACCTGGAGCTGTGTTTTGTTTCATTCAAACATGACTGACTAATGCTGCATTATTAGTTTGTCCACATCTCCAAAGCTCACAATGTTCTGTTCCACCTTGTGATGTCATGTAGTAGTAGTCTTCAAGTTAAGAGCTCCCTTTTATCTTTAGGTCAGTAGATTGGCATTTCCAGATCTGAAATGATTCAAATGATTCTAGTGCAGGTGTATGGAGTTTAAAAGCACAGTGGAGCTCTTCCTTTATTTCCACATGACATCACAAGGTGGACCGGAGTGCTTTCAGTCTGAGAGAAGAACTCAGACATGTGTGAATAAAACACAACTGCAGATATGTTTTTGATAAGGAAACATTATAACACAGTAGGGGTGTAACGATATCCAAGTCTCAAGATACGATATCGTCACAGTATGAAGCTCACGGTGTGATATTTATTGCGATATCGTGGGAAAGCTCACAATATGATGGGGAGGCTCACAATTAGAGATGTAACAATATCCAAATCTGTCGGTACGGTATTTTCATAATACACATCTCACGGTACGATGTTTATTGCGATATTTTGTGGAGACTAACAAAACTTTTAATATTCTACTTTTTCTTCTTAAAATGCCTTGACAAGACTTAGTTCAAAGAACTAAGACTTAAAAGTGCTTAGAACTGTTATTTCTTGTAGTCTACACTGAAACGGAGCAAAGGATCATGGTCTATGTAGTTCTCTCTGTCTTTTTTTGTAGCTATTGATGCACCATAACTCTTAATTTAAGCGACTTGTAATTCAATATATTGTGATGGTCCACGATATTATTGTGAGAACTTTGACGATACGATATCACGATATTTCGGTTTATTGTTACATCCTTAACGTTTTACCTTTAGTTCAGTAAATTGGCAATTCCAGATCTGAAATGATCCAAATGATTCTAGTGAAGGTGCATGGAGTTTAAAAACACAGTGGAGCTCTTCCAGTGTTTAAACATGACATCACAAGGGGGAACAGAGTGTTTTCAGTTTGAGAGAAGGACTAAATATGCAGGTTGGCGTGTTAAACATATGTGAATAAAACAAAGCAGACTTTCATTTTATCAACACATTTTTATTTAACCAAACGCTAATAGTAGTTTTTAAATTTTGTTGAAGTTAAATCCTGGTTATTATGTGCATAAATGCAATTATAACTGTCACCTTGCAGTCATGATAGCCTATGTATTCTTCCACAAACGGTCAATTAGCCTAACTGATGTAAAACTATGATACATATTTACTACATGTATCAACCAAACCAACGAATAATAAGATAAAAACATGAAAACCTATGACACACACTGTATACGATATGGGCATAGTTGCTGTACATGCGTAACAGGTGCGCATGAAGATCCCCGGCTTTACCATGGCATCCAATTGTATATGTTTACTTATAGACTACGATTGTTTGAACGCGTGGCTTTCATGTCGTGGAATGCGTAAAGTGATAATACGAGCAAAATGGTTTTTAATTAACAAAATCCTCCGTTTCGACCATGGAGATTAGCACGGGGCACACATAAGCACGTCAAATAAGCTTTCAGATCTGTGGTCAGCTGTTCGTCTAATTGCGCGCTGGCACCGTGGGTCAGGGTAAATAGAAAAAGGGGCAAAATGTTCCACCCGGTCTAATCCCTCATGGTCTAGTGCGCGTTGCAGCCTAAGGTTACCCGGGCTATAAACTGTACGAGTTAAGACTTATCAGGCCGTCCAGCTGTCTGCCGCGGCCAGGTCTGAAGGCGCATGGACAAACTGATAAATAGTCTCAAGGGCAAGGGAGAGAAGCTGAACTTTCGGCTGTTTACCTATGTGAGTTATAGCATGGGAAAGCTCGTGTACCGTTTATTAATATAGAATAAGGTCATAAAAAGATCACTGTATATGTTATGTAGGCAGCATGGCTATAGGCAACTATTTCCATAAACATTGTGCCTCCAAGGAGAAAACCAACCCGTAAAGGTGCACTGAAGCTTCTTAAACATCTCTATCTCCTCACAGACTGGTAATAGCACCAGGCCAAACTGACAGAGGCAGATCTATGAAGAGGCGACCCAGTCCAAAGCAAAAATAAATGTTTTTTTAAAGGTTTTTCACAAAAGAAACATCTACAAATGAATACATATGTGCTGGATATGGTTAATGCCTGTGGAACATTACTAGCCTGATTTACCAGGCTTACTATGATTTCACTTCATAGCATCATTAGAATTTGTTCGCTCGACAGTAGACAGGTACGTTTTTTTTTACTAAACCAGTCGCTGCTATTTGGTCGTGATGTATGTAATGTGGCGCTAACTGGGCTAACTGGTATATTAAGCTTTTCCCAAATCCCGTAGGACAGGAGTCCCCAACCTTTTTCCTCCAGTGAGCTACGTTTACAAAACAAAAATGCCAGCGAGCTACTCATTTTAGCAGTCGCAAGAAATTGAGACGATTATAAGAAAGACGGTGAGCCTTTGGGTACAGTTAAATGCCTATAAAACATAAGCCATTGTCCATTTATCAGTGCACAAAGTTGGGCTTTAAAATACAATGGTAATAGGCATGTAATTAACCAAAATTTATTATTCAGTGCAGTGGTATAATTTTCAAAATCCCTTGGCGAGCTTAGATGGGGTGGAGAGCTACTGGTAGTTTCTGAGCTACAGGCTGGAGACACCTGCCATAGGAAGAAGGGCAATAACGTCTTTCCCCTTGATAAAATTCACCAAACATTCTCTTTGTTCCGGCTTTAAATCCTCGATCTCGGGAATCATTACCAACACAGAATGTATGGCCCTCCGCTGATTGGCTTTTGCCCGAACTCGCACTTCCGGGGTTCTTGTAAACCGTCTAGTGTATTCTGATTCCTGACCTAGTCACTAGAGAGAAATGAAATTGAGCGGAGGCACTAGGTGGCACCAGCCTGTCTAGAACATCACAATTCAGACAGACCCTACACCAGAAAAAGCGTACACAGTTAACCTTTAATGATGAGGGCAATGGTGCTCTTTCTGTTATCTATTACAGCCTGGTAAGTTATAATTTGCCAACTACTGTTATCATAATTATACTTCTTATAACCTAATGCTCCTTCCTGGAATTAATTTTGGGTGGTTTAGGTTAATCAAAGTTCAGTCAATTTAAAACATTTACCTTGAAGTTTTTAGTATCGTTATGGCTCTGCAGGTTCAAAAGGTTTTTCATACCAAATTCCACCACTACAATCACTACAGAACATGTTGATGCTACTACTTCTTACTAATAATTTAGTACAGATTTTTCCTTTCTTCCATCAAGTGTTATACTGTTGTTTCTGCATCAAAAACATGCCTGGAGTTATGTTTTGTTTCATTCACACGTTTAACACACAAATCCTGCATACTGAGAGTTCTTCTCTCAAACTGAAAACACTGTTCCACCTTGCAAGGCCATGTGGTAATACAGGAAGTGCTCCAATGTGTATTTAAAGTCCATACACCTTCATTAGAATCATTTGAGTGATTTTAGCCCAGGAATTGACCATCTCTATTGAACAAAATGCTGTTAAGTTGACATCACAAGATGGAATGGAGCATTTTGAGCTTTGGAGATGTAGACAGACCAGGATTACTCAAACACGTGTGAATAAAACAAAACCCAACTCAAGTTACTGTATGTTTTTGACGAAGTAACAACATTCTAACTTACTTTAAAGCTCACAAGAGTCCATTTTAATCATTAATAGTAATAATATAGGACCTTTAACTACTATTAACCTATAGAAGAACCAGAACTATAGAAAGAAGCTCACTTACTTCTGGAGTGCTCCGTCTCTCTGGGAACCATAGGGGCTTGATTACATTCTCCATAGCGATGTATAAGACGCTGTGACTTACGTGGTGTCTGCAGGACAAACAAACAGTATGTGAGTGAGTATACAGAGAGAGAGTAGAGTGTGTTTTTATACAAAGATCATGTTTGTAGTCTTTAACCGGCAGCATCAGCGCCGGATCCTGACCGCCCTGGAGCTACTAGAAGGCCACAGTCAGACGTGAAAATGTTACATAAGAGAGCGCTTTTAAATCTGAGCCTTTGTTCTAGCTGAGGTTTGTTCTTTCTGCTCAGGCCTAAATCCATTACTTGGACCAGTTTGAGATGGTGTGCGGTGAGAAGGCTTTACTTTGTCGAATCGGAAATGTTTTTGTTGGATTTCAGATAGAGTTCTAAAGCTGCTCTCTGTAACTTTTCTGGAGGAGATGCTGCTGCTTGTGTCCGTGGAGATGTTATTGCTTAGCCTGGAATCAAGACGTGTAATCCCTCATTCATCCAAGAGAGAGAGAAGATTTCAATATTGACACTGGTTTTGCAGTCAAGTTATTTTCATTTTAATGGTATGATCAAACTTAGCCTGGACAGTCCATAGTATCGCAATTAACTTCTGTATTTCCATAGAAACAAGCAGGTGATGCAATTGCCACCTAGTCGAGTGACAGGTCAGATCTGTGGAGAGGTCACAGTATACATGCATGTTTTCCAAGGGATTTTTGAGCAATAAAAACATATATAATTCTATCAGTCAATTCAATTTTATTTTTTTCCCACAATTTTAAATTATTATCCCACAATGCACACCTTTATACATACATATAAATATGTACACACATTTCACATATATATTATGTGTGCCATATGTGTTAACCTTGAAAAAAAAACATCTCAAAACTCTCAAAAGAAGCTGTCAAGTTTGTGTATATGGGGTCCATCACCACTTTGCAGGTTCTTGACAGGCTCAGTTTTTGTAAAATTACAACCACAGACAAGACAGTAAATTAATAATAATAATGATAATAA